TTTAAACCAAAAATTTTGGATCCGCCCGCCAAACATGTTAAAATTTTGTTCTCACGAGAGCACAGGCTAATATTGTGAGCATCAATAATTAATTAGTCTAGTGTGATGAGTTATTATATCCCTTAAGTAAGGTTAGATATTCGAATTCTGACGATTATAAATAGAGCGAATTGAGTTGAGAGAGTCGTAATTGACTCTGCAACATTCGATTCGAATTAATCGATTAATAAATCAGATACAAATAATTATAAAAATTTATAAAATAAAAAAAAAACTAGTATTGTGGGCCACGTTTTTAACCTTGACAATTCAAGGGTCAAGGCTGCGCCGGTCCAAGGCAACCATCAGTTGGAGCCCGCCCGTATCTAAGGAAACCCCGAAGATCATAAAAATCGAAATCCCTAATTCCCAAATTAGGCAAAGAGAAAAAAATTCAAGCGGAAGAGCAAACAATGGTGTGCATACGGAAGGCGACCATGGACGACCTACTGGAAATGCAAACTTGCAACTTGCTTTGCCTTCCCGAGAATTACCAGATGAAGTACTATTTCTACCACATCCTCTCTTGGCCTCTGCTCCTTTACGTCGCCCAGGACTACCATGGCCGCATCGTCTCCACCTAGAAGTTTACATTAGTCCCTAACATTCATTTATTATATCGAAAACTTAATTTTAATCTTTCATCTATAAAAAGGAACATCTTAGCCCTTGTATTTCTAGAAAAATACTATTTTGGTCCAAAACATTGAAGTTGTTACTTGGCTTAAATATTATTTTTAGAAAATAATATTTTGCTCCAAAAGGACTTTTGGTCAAGCATCTCGAAATTGGTATCACAAAGGGGCTGTTTGTTTACCTTTTAATGGAATCATTAAGCGTTGAATGATGAATCGTTCAACATTCAGTGCGTTTTTTTCGCACCTTTGAATGATTCAGTGCTGACTGATTCTGTAACACCCCAACCCGTACCCGACCCGAATACGAGTCCGAGATGTCACATTGACTTTTTAAAACAATTTCCTTTCAAAATAATCGAGCATTTTAATTTGTATTAAGAAAATACGACCATATATGGTTCACTTGTGCTTGTTATAAAATTTTGAGTTCAAAAATACGTATTCGTGAACAGTAAAAATACGGTATGAATAGTGAACAGTGAATAGTGCGATGAACAGTGGGGGTATCGATTCCCTGTAGCAGGGAATCGATTCCCCTTTAAGATACTGGAAAATTTTGTTCAAACTCGCGGTTACTGTTCATGCTACAGTAACTGCTACAGTATTTTCCGAAATTTACATATTAACTTATAAAAATTAACCTTTCATCACTATAAAAATTCCCATCTATGTTTCCAAATTTATTTAACAAAATAAATTTAATATTATTAATTACATATACTCATTAAAACATTACAAAACTCATTCGTATAACTTTTCAAAACCGATTAAAACTTATCAGATTTGATCATTTATTTACATGCCAACCACTATCGTTATTACAAAATACACATTATACATTTCTTTTCTGATCTGATCTATGGAAAGGAGAAACTGACCTGTTTTGAGTAACTTTTATCAACCGTCATCTTCTCGTAACCTACGCGTGAAACAATCACACGCTAAGTCGTTGACTTAGTGAGGCATATAAAATATATATGAAAACCATATAACATTTCATATAATAAAATGAATACATGTTCATATACCAACATCATCATAATCTCTATTTATCATATGATTTTGTACTTATCATTTCTCATTTGATCATCACTAATTTCTTTATATACTATATCAGCATATAATATAAACTTCAAATCTCACTATTGCATAAATAATTACCAATCTCATATAACAAATACATTTCACTTAGGAATGCACACAATATCACATATGAATCTTGTAAATACTTTCAATGTCTTTTATAGGCCCATGTACATTACTGAGAACTTAAGGTATGCGAGTACTGTGAGGTTGTGCACTATGCTGTCACCACAGCTCATATAAATTTTGCACCGTAGTGCCACGTAGAATTTTGTCCCGAAGGACCGCGTAGAAATGCACCGAAGTGCCACGTAGAATTGCACCGTAGTGCCATATAATATGTCCCTAAGGACCTCATATAAACTCCTTAAGAATCATATATATATATATGCTAAGGATCAAACATGTGTCTCACAAGACCTCATACATGCTCCAAAGAATACATATACGTCCCGAAGGACCACGTAGAATTTGTCCCGAAGGACCGCGTAGACCCTCTACTCTTGGCATGCCAACTATACCTCTAGATCTCATGACACATATCATGGGCATTATTCTTTATATTATTTCATATATTCACATAAACACATAATTCACTTACACGTAGAACATTTCCATGTGATTCACATTCACATGTGCATATAATCACGTAGTTTACTTTCATGTAATACATGTCACTTTTCATATGAATTCATATTCATATATCACATAGCTTATACTTTGTTCTTATGTCTTCTCATAGACATATATTATTTCTCACGTAGTCACATAGATTCATATCATATTACCTATATTATTTCTCATGTATTCATGTAAACATGCATGTCTTATTTTGTTCACATATGTTCATATATACATCATTATAATCAATAATCCATACACAACAACTATTGAAAATAGACTTATCACAAGTCCAATTCCTTATAATCCTATAAACTATAATGCACTCATAAGAATCATACCAATCATATAACATTTTAGGAGTCCCTTCTTACCATAGTAACTCCGTCACTGGCTCATCGCGAGCCAATGTTTTCCGATAGCATAAGTACAATTAAATTGCACTCACCTTAGCCTTGCTTGCTTTGATTCAATCCTAATCCTTTGATTATTCCAGAACTTGTTTAGGCTCAATATCTACATAAATATAACATTTCAAAACGACTATCAGAAGCCTTAACCTTAAATTTGATGTTAATAACTTAAGCCGGTTTAATAAACTAAATTTCCATTTTTCATTTAGGGGGAATCGATCCCCCCCAGGGGGTATTGGTTCCCTTTGCATAATCTGGAAATTTTCATTCCAACCCAGAAAATTACTGTTCATTACACGAAAATTCTCTATTTTCACTTCAATTCTTCATATTTCATCCCCTTTCATATTCCTACCTCAAGTATACATACTTAAACTAATTTATATCTATTTATTTCATCTTAAACCTTAGAATTCTATTCTCCATATAGAATTCAATAATCATATCAAATTTTCCATGTTATCCAAACTTAATTGTAACACTTCTAACTTCTTATTCTCATAGATGGCAAGTCAAATTCAACCTCCAAAATCATTTAAACATTTCTATTCAAAATTTCACTTCAAAACCCATTTTCTTTAATCTGTCATAACTCCTTTATCTTTTGAATTTAAGATAACTTAAGCTTTCCTTAAGCTTAATTATCATTTAATGATCAAAACCTAACCTTTAATTCAACAAATAATCAACAAAATCGAAAACTCACCTTTGCCTAGTCTTCCCTGGTTGGAGAAGAAGAAGAAATGAAGAAGAAGATAAAATGCATTCATCTCCCCCGTTTTTATCTCCTATTAAAGGGATAAAAAATATCTTTAATGTCAATTGACCATTTTGCCCTTTAATTCATTGGATAATTACTAAAAACTTTCAGGAAATATCCTCAAATAAATCATTGAACTATTCAAGTATTCTACTTTTATCATCAAATTCTGAAATTTTACAATTTGGTCACTAACCCGTAGTTTGGGATGTTACAGATTCAGCAAGACAGTATTGAATGATTCAGCACATTCTGAATGATTCAGAGCCAGTAAACAAACATCATGTCACATTCAGAGCTAATTCATCCAGAGCCTCTGAATCATTCAACATTCGAATCATTCAAAACTTAATCATTCTGAAGTAAACAAACAGCCCCAAAGTTTGCTTCTTCGATTGTTGCGATCAATTTATTGATAATCAGATTGATTCATTTTTTTGTCTAGAGATTGAGGATCATTTGTTATCATTCTCATATACGTACATGACGTCATTATTAGGGTTATAGATAATGCTCATACTCTATAGCCAAAACGAGGCACAGCCTGTTAGTTACATTATCTCTCCATAGATTTTACTAATATACATTCTTCTACTTAGATCTGAGGTCTAAGCTTTCAAGGTTTATGATGCAAGAGGATCCATTTAATGGCAACTTGCATATCATTTACCAGGAAAACTCATGGGAGATCTATTCATATATCTTTAAGACTTCAGAAGGAAGGAGAGAAGTTTTTATTTTGATAAAAGATTAATCTTTTCTATAGCATATGGAATATTCCAAATCAAAGACCTTGGCAAACTCAATTATTTTGTTGAAATTAAAGTGACACGTTCTTCACAAGGAATTGTACTAGGTCAAAGTATACAAGTTCTCAATATTCTGATAGAAAGTGGTTTAACTGCTTGTAAACCAGCCAATTATTCAATGGAACAACAACACAAGCTTTCAACCGACTCTGGAGAGCCTCGTACTGACCCTGGACGATAACTAAGCGACGAATATGGAAAATTGAGGGAACCGTTTCTATAGCATATGTAATATTTACATGTTACTTGTGTTATAAAAATCAATAACTTAAAAAAAAAAAAAAAGCTTATCTGAGGCAGAATACAAAACTTAAAAGAAAAAGGCAAAGAACCCTATCCGGTGTGAGCCACAGCCAATCAGAATTGTCAACTTGCCATGCACAGCTACTCTAAATATTTAACCAATGTTGTGTGTTGATGTTTATGGATTCAAAAGGAGTAGTACACAAGGCCAAAACTTCACCATAATTCTGATACCAGAACCACCTTGCAGTTCAACAGATAGTGTGGATGGCTGCAACTTGTTAAGATTTTTGCGTTATTGTATCAAGTCACCTTCATCATATCATTCAAAACAAAGAGTTAGACTGTGTGCGTAAGTGAAACCTTTTATGTGCTAATAAAAATATACCGGATCTTCATTCCGATTCGCATCAGTTTATAATGCCTGTCAAAATGTCGGCCGAGAATACTTGGTTTAAAAGTCATGTTATTTTCCCTGTACATGATTAGAGGGGCCATGGCATGTGCTATCTTATCATTTCCCATATGCATATATGGAACTAGAAAATAATGGACCTACCTGACAGGTGATTTTCAAAACTCTCACATCCCTTTCTTATACTTGGCTGGGCCGTTGCTTGACTCTGTGAGAGGTCAAATTCATTAATCAGTATGTGTCTCGATGAAATTAATAGATTTGGCATACTAAACATCACCTGTGAAGGGGGTATTTGCATCTGGTGAAGATCAATATATCGCTGGTAAGATTCAGCTACGTTTGGGGGCCCTGGCTGGTTTATGTTTTGCATGCCAAGAGGGATCAGCATGGGGTACTGATTGCCTGATTGGGGTTTTGATGGGTCAGGAGCTTGAACTGGTGGTCGCATATGAAAGGCTGGCATAGGAAACCTAGGACCCAAATGTGTCGCAACTGCTGGTGTTGGCAACGCCGAGCCCGCCAAAACAATGGTATATGGCATCATTGGCCTAATTATTCCCATGCCCATCCCAATTCCCATTGGTGGAATGTACTGCTGAGCACCAGGATACATCATTGGGACCATGCCACAACCCATGGACATCATCTGCATAAAGTTAAGATCTATACCGTCATAAATAATGCACAAGATCGTTATGCACATTATTGATCGATAAAACAAATGCCACAAGGTTTTTTTTCTCTCCAGAGATTCCTTTTATTCTCTCAACTCAATTGAGTTATTAAGCATACAAGAACATCCAGGGACACGATGATACTGCAAACCAATTACTGCTGCAGAAATGCTGCAAGAATCAGTAATGTTAGATTGTAAAACTCAATAAAGTAGTCTTGAGAAAGAAAACTGTTCAGTGTTGATTGATGAATAAAGGTTTTCTAGTGCTGTATATTAACTCACGATCCTCTGGAGTGAGAGAAAATTTATTAAAGTTACTATATTGTCTGGAATTAAGAACAAACCGTTTTGGCCATACTATGTGATCTCAGACCTATCTTTCCTTAACCCCAAGTAAAGACATTGACGAAACCAAAAATATTTTTGAGGATGGATATACATGTAATAATCACATAAAATTTTGTACGTGGATGGACACATAGTGGTTACAATCAGTAAAATAAGTAATTAACAAAAGCAAATTCGAATTTCGGTGAGCAACGTGGATCCACCACTGAGCAAAAATATACCTGAACTTGCAACTGAAGTGACTTCAAGTACTCAATTGCTTCATCCAGCATTGAAGCTTTATCTGACTGAGATTCAGAAATATCCAATATATTAATAAAAGCAGAGAGAGAAATATCCAAATTAAATCAGTAATAAAAGGTCCTCAACGGTCATTGACCTTGTTGCAGTGAGGTATGAGTTCTTGCAAAGCCCTCATCTTTTCATTTATACGATCTCTGCGTCTCTGCCATATATACCATGTAATTATACCCAGAAGAGGAATAATAACACATTCATCAACTCAACTTTAATAAATGTCAAAATATAAGATACTGACCCTCTCGGAGAGATTATGGACCTCGGCAGCCCGGGACCTTTTTGTAGATGTGGATCCACGATTTTGTTTCTTTGTGTCTTCGTATTCGAACTCAGCATCCTTTGGCAACAATAAAAACTCGGAATAACTTTTATTGAATTTTGATACAAATAAAAATATATGTAAAGAAAAAAAATATATATATATATATATATTGAACAATATCTTCCTCTATTCGGATAATCTGTACTTCAAAAGTCTATCATTCTTATAGTCTCCTCTTGTTTCCCCATTTTACAGTATTCATTAGAAACTGGTTAAAAGAATACAAACTTTCAATGTGGCACATAGCTATTTCAACCCCTTAAATATTCTCCTTGCTCTCATGGAAATGCCTAAACAATAAAAATTAAAAAATGACGAATACATATAGTCGTATATTTTTATTATTCCCTACAAGGACAGAATTAGTATCAAACATTCAAAGGAATAAAAATCTATTAAGTGTTTGAATTTAGAAACTAAAAGAAACATATATCTTATTCAACTAATATTTAAACTAACAAGAACTTAAAATGATAATCTATTGAAGAATTTTTAGAATCACAATATTCAATACCAACAAATGATTCAGCCCATGATATGGTAGCTTTCTATTATTTGTCTAAAAAGTTTTACATATGGTCAATAGAGTATTATTTTATATTGTATCTCAAGAAGAAGAATAAATGAACGAAGATTGATTCAAGTGGTAAAAAATTTGATATCACTTAAGTAATGTTTCAGGTTCGAGTCTTTGTGTATGCAAAAAATCTCCACTGGAAGACTCATCACTAAAATCAAATATGCGACCCGAATTGATTCAGATTAATCGAGATAAATCCTTGGTAAAAAATATAAAAGTTATAAAGCCAGCAGACACCTATTAGGTATAACTGTAACTGTACAACACTCCCTCCATCACTCTGAAAATATTATAATATTTCAAAACCCTTAATTTTTTTAAACTAAAAAATCCACTCTCTTTTACTCCCACTTGTCACTGCCAGCCTCCTTCCCCATCCAATCATTCAAGTCGTGTCGACCACCCAATTATGTCGTACACGTGGCATTTTTCAACTCGATGAACATTACACGTTACAGTTCCTGAATAATGCACCAAGTGGCAAGTGTCCAGTGGCGGTGACAATGAGCGACGGGTGCTCATGTTAAATGAAGTGTTACCCCATGAGCACGTTAGCCGAGACAAATAAGATAACCAAAAAAGAGGGTTTAGAATAACCTCGCTGTGACTTTCGCTGTAGTCCAGTTCCCTTCCTTTACGCTTCCGGTCCTCAGCCTGGGCAGCATTTTGAGCCGCCGGTTCAGCGCTACCGCTGGATACGCCAGGTGATGATGTCACATTGAACTCGCACGTGCCTAAACTGTCTTTGTTGGCACCCAGGATGACGTCAGCTGATTGCTTGTGTGGTACACCAGCGGTGCTCTTGTCTGCGTGTGCATTGTTGTTGTTGTTCCCGTCAGGTGCCGCCGCCTCAGCGTTGCGCGGCCTAGCCTGATAGGCTCCCGATTCAGGAGCCATTGCCGGTGTATCGATCGAATCAACGACCGTTGATTCCCTCATCACACTCTTCGAATTCGACGGTCTAGATTGGTCCGTCCTCGCCGGTATATGCCTTGAGAAGTGAGCGAAGTTCTGGATCCTAGCCGAATCCAACGCATTCCTTCTAGCCGGCGATATGGGAGGCTTAGGAGATGATTTCGAAGCCGAAGCTGGAACCGAAACTTGAGAAACTCTTCCGACTAAAGGAGGAGCGGAGGTTGTGACGGTTGCGGCGAGGGAAGAGGAGGAAGGATAGAGAAGATCAGCGCTGAAATCGCGGTCGAAGTTGGCGTCGCTGATAGGATAGTGAAGCCACGAAGAAAGTTCATCTTCTTGCATGAAGAGATGATCAGTAACCGAGTGGTGTTGCTCCCGATGATGATGCTGGGCTGAACGGTCGGCGTCGGGAAATTTGAACGGCGCTGATTTATTGAGAGTTTGTTGATTTTGGGACTGCATAACAACTTGTCCGTTTTGCCACAACAGCTCCGTAAGTTGATCCCCCCGTCTGTTCTGAAATTCGTCAATCTATGGATTCACAATTTCCATAATATATGAAGAAACTAAAAGAGGTTACCTGGAATGCTTTTCAAGAGAAGAAGATGAAAGGATTGAGTAATCGCCATCCATTTCGAAACCGGGAACGCTGTGATTCATGTTCATCCTATATAAAACAACCACCAAATCTAATAAAGCAAATAGCAATATATACATATATAAAAAAAAGAAAAAGAAAACGCACCTGATTCAACTAATTAAGCAAAGTAAAATGAGAGAATTGTTTGTTTTTATGAACTGGAAAAGGGAAAAAGGGGCAGAAAAGGCGGGTGTTATCTTGGTTGATGTGCACACTTCAGCCGCAGTGCATGCTTCCGCTGCCGATGGTTATGAAATTGATGCTGAAAAAACTCAGTACAAAAAGAACAATACAATCTAATAACAAAATCTAAATCCATGTGTCGCCTTCAATTAGCTCTCTACTGTTTTTTTGTTTTACATAACTACTGATATAGTATTAATCATTAATTTTTTTTAATTAAGATTAAATTAAAATAAAATATAAAGGTTGAGAATTAAATTTCTTACTTTATCAATTTTTAACACATTATTAACGCTCTTCAATGAGTTACATTTTTATTCTTTAATAAAAACAAGTCAGGTTTTTTTAGAATTTAAATTTATAAATTTAAAATATAATTATACAAAGCCGGTCAAACCTCTTTAATGAATTATAAAATTCCTTGTAATTATATAATACAATTATTGTAACTTGGAAGATGGAATTCAAAGAGATCAATACTAAATGGCGTCTAAACACATCCTCAAAAGTGTGATTGAATTGGTGGTTCCAACAGAGAAAACACCACAAGGAAGCAACTACGGATCGTCGTCGTAAGATACGTTCGAGCTACTGATTGTTGAATATTTGGCATGCACCGAAAGTAGCACGCAAATGTTGAAAGAAAAAAAATTAATTAATCCACCGAATACAATTGTCAAAAAGGTAGTACATAATTGTTGAATTTTGACAATGGTTAAATCTCAATTTTAGTCATTGCAATTTATGGTATTTACAAATTAGTCCTTAAGCTTCAACTATAAATATCCTAACTCATTTAGCTTCAAATCCATCCCAAATCATTCTAGTTTTCTCCCAATACTAGAGAATTTAAAGAGTTTCTTGAGAGTTGTTTTCTCATTTTTTATTAAGAGAGAATTATCATTATTTTCTCCCTGGTAGATCGAGAGAGGTTGTAATTCCTATTTTCTCATAGTGAAATTCTTCTACCGTTGCCTGTGGTTTTTACTCTATATTATTTAGGGGGTTTCCACATAAATTTTGTGCCTCTTTTATCTTCATTTTTATTTTCTCAAATTATCAGTTGCGATTTTGCTCTATCCGATAGCCGTCTTCCGCAACAATTGGTATCCGAGCCAGATTTGAGTGTGTAATATCTGCTTATTATCTTTCCAACATAAGAAAGTAAAAATGTATTACCCATTCTTTGAAGGTTCCAGAGAACTATTCGCGATAGTGAAATAATGAGAGCTATCTGAAATAGAAGCTATGACAACAAAATTTGATATTGAAAAATTCAATGGGAGAAATTTCTCATTGTGGAATTAAAGATGAAGGCCATCTTGAGGAAAGACGGTTGTCTAGCAGCTATCAGCGAAAGGCCGGTAGATTTCACATACGACAACAAATGGATCGAATAGATAAGAATGATATGGCAAACTTTCATCTAGCATTAGCAGATGAAGTATTGTCAAGCATTGAGGAGAAGAAGATAGCTAATGAGATATGAGATCATCTTACCAAACTATACGAGGCCACATCGTTGCACAATAAATTTTCCTTAAGAGGAAATTGTACACTCTCCGGATGCCAGAATCTACTTCAGCGACGAAACACTTAAACACGCTGAACACTTTATTTTCTCAGCTTACATCCTTAAGATGTACAATAGAAGAACAAGAACGTGTTGAACTTCTACTTCAAAGTCTACCTGATTCGTATGATCAACTTGACAAACAATAATGTCACCAGTCTAGTCTTCGATGACGTTGCAGCTGCTGTTCTACAAGAAGAAAATCGACACAAGAACAAGGAAGACATACAAGTAAATCAGCAACAAGAAGAAGCGTTGACAACGATGAGAGGGAGATCAACAGAACGTGACCAAAGCAGCAGTCACAAACATGGTAGATCAAAGTTGAGAAGCAAGAATAATTTAAAGTGCTACAACTGTGGAAAAGGGTCACTTGAAAAAAGATTGTTGGAGTCTAAATAAAAACTTCAATCCACAAGGCAATACCGCAAACACTTCAGATGATAGAGATGCTCTAAGCTGTGAAGCGTCAACCACCGTGGAAGGCAGAAAATAATTTGCAGATATATGGCTCATTGATTCGGGAGAAACATGTCACATGACCTCAAAAAGAGAATGGTTTCATCATTATGAACCTGTCTCAAGAGGATCTGTGTATAGTTGCAATGATCATGTCTTATAGATCATTGGCGTGAGAACAATCAAATTGAAGATGTATGATGGAACAATCAAAATTGTTCGAGATGTGCGGCACGTGAAAAGCCTAAAGAAAAAATTATTATCATACGGATTGTTGGATAATAATGCAAGCAAGATTGAAACACGAAAATGAATCATGAAGGTGTTCCGTGGAGCGCTTGTGGTGATAAAAGGCAAAAAGATAGTAGCAAACTTGTACATGCTGAAGGGAGAGACTTTTCTAGAAGCAGAAGCCTCTGTTGCCTCATGTAGTTCAGATTCTGCAATGCTATGGCATCAGAAACTTGGACAGATGTCAAAACAAGGAATAAAACTCCTTGTGGAGAAAAAGCTACTTCCAGGCTTAACAAATGTATCACTTACTTTGTGTGAGCATTGCATAACAAGTAAGCAGCACCAGTTGAAATTCAACACGTCAAATTCTAGAGGCAAAAGTGTTATAAAATTGGTTCATTCTGACGTATGGCAAGCACCAGTTACATCCCAAGGCGGAGCAAAATATTTTGTCTCATTTATTGATGACTACTCCAGGAGATGTTAGGTGTACCCTATTAAGAAGAAGTCATAAGTGTTTTCCACTTTCAAAAACATCAAAGCGCGAGTGGAACTTGATTCTGGAAATAAGATCAAGTGTTTCAGAACAGATAATGGAGGAGAATACACAAGTAAATAATTTGATGACTTTTGCAGGAAAGAAGACATCAAAAGACATTTCATAGTGGCGAACACTCCTCAACAAAATAAAGTGGCAGAGAGGATGAACAAAACCTTGTTAGAAAAAACAAGAGCAATGTTGAGGGATGCATGCCTAAAAAAATCATTCTAGGCAGAAGCAGTCAATTCCGCCTGTTATTTAGTGAATCGAGCTCCATCAACTGCAATAAAGTTGAAGACACCAATAGAGATGTGGACTGGTAAACCAGCTGATTATTCAAACCTCCATGTATTTGGAATTATTGTGTACGTGATGTGCAACTCCCAAGAAATCTCAAAGTTTGATCTAAAATCCAGGAAATGCAAATTCTTGGGATATGCTGATGAAGTAAAGGGGTATCACTTGTGGGAAGAAGTCCCAAATTCTTGGGATATCCAAGGAGATTCTTCTGAAGCAGAACCAACACATAATAAAGAAGAACCAGAGAGTTCTGAAGCTCCAACAACTCGTCAATCAGATCGTGTGAGAAGAAGTCCCAATTGGCACTCAGATTATTTTATAGAAGGAAATGTTGCATATTGCCTTTTAACAGAGGATAGTGAGCCATCAACATACCAGAAGGCAATAAACAGCTCAGATGCTTCACTATGGATGATGGCGATGCAAGAAGAAATCGAAGCCCTTCATAAAAATAATACATGGGACCTTGTGCCACTACCACAAGGAATGAAGCCAATTGGTAACAAATGGGTCTTCAAAATCAAGCGAAATGGTGATGATCAAGTGGAGAGGTATCATGCAAGACTAGTGGTCAAAAGATATGCTCAAAAAGAAGGTATTGATTTCAATGAAATTTTTTCTCCTGTGGTTCAACTAACAACAGTTCGAGTAATCTTGGCAATGTGTGCTACATTGAACTTACATCTAGAACAGCTAGATGTTAAAACAACTTTTCTTCATGGAAATCTTGAAGAAGAAATTTACATGCTCCAGCCTGAAGGTTTTGAAGAAAAAGAAAATAATAACTTGGTTTGCATGTTGAACAAGTCTCTGTACGGTCTAAAGCAGGAGTCGATGTGTTGGTATAAGAGATTTAATTCCTTCATTATGTGCCTTGGATACAACAGACTTAATGTAGACCCTTGTGCTTATTTCAAGAGGTCAAGTGATAACGATTTTGTTATATTGATGTTAATGTGGATGACATGTTGGTTGCAGGACCCAACAAAGATCATATTGAAGAATTGAAGGCACAACTGGCTAGGGAATTTGAAATGAAGGACTTGGGATCGGAAAACAAGATTCTAGGGATACAAATTCACCAAGACATGAATTAATAGGAAGATTTGGCTTTCACAAAAAAATTACTTGAAGAAGATCTTGTCACGATTCAACATGTAAGATTGTAAGCCAATTTCTACCCCTCTTCCTATTAACTTCAAATTATCCTCTAGTATGAGTCCTAGCAGTGAAGAACAGAGGATATAGATGTCTCGAGTACCGTATGCATCATCAGTGGGAAGTTTAATGTTCGCTATGATATACACAAGACTAGACATTGCACAAGCAGTGGGAGTGGTTAGTCGGTACATGACGAATCCAGGCAAAGAGCATTGGAATACAGTAAAGAGGATCCTGAGATACATCAAAGGGACCTTAAATATTGCATTATGTTATGGAGGATCAAATTTACTTATCAATGGGTATGTTGATTCTGACTATGCAAGGGATTTGGATAAAAGTAAATCTACTACATGATATGTGTTCAAAGTTACTGGTGGAGCTGTAAGCTGGGTTTCAAAATTGCAGTCGGTTGTGGCTACATTCACAACAGAGGCAGAATATGTTGCAGCTACACAAGCCAGTAAAGAAGCAATTTGGTTGAAGATGCTATTGGAGGAGCTTGAGCACAATCAAGAGTATGTCTCTCTGTTTTGTGACAGTCAAAGCGCCTTGCATCTAGCAAGGAATCCAACA